CCCCCCCTTTGCCCAAGGAGAACAAATCTACGCGCGCTTGTGCGTGCGTGCGTGTGCGTGAGCGTCTGCATTTACCCACGGTGTGGGTGTCGAGCCTAATCGAGAGCGAGGGGTAGTAGTTTTAAAGACGGCGAGACAAGCGCGGGAGGAAGAATTGAAGGAAACCGATGCATACACATTATAGTACAATACGATAGAGAGTTTATCGAGTGCAATGCGTGCCTCGTGTTTATCGATCTTCGTGATTTAACACATAATTATGTATATATAGGTGCGTAGAATTTCGATCCACGCTCCTCCACCCCTCAACCTCCATACCATCCCCGCTCGCCCCCTCTGGATTCATTTAATCCTCTTCTCTCTCTCGAGGAGCTTGATTAATCGATCGACTAATTGCTAAACTACTATTGCCCTTTGCCACGTTAACCCGTAGACGCTATTTCAGAGACTCCCTTGTATAACTCTCTCCTTTGGACGCGAACGCCCAGCTAATTGCAAGGTGAGTGAAGGAGTTCTGTTCCTTTTCAGTATCCATTTCATTTACTTTGATATATTTCTACGTTGATATATTTCTACGTTGCATTAACCTTTAATAATTCTATGTTCGATCCTTCATTTCTGTGCAATTTTACGTTATCATTTTTTTTAATCGTTCCTTCTTTCAATTTGAAATGTTACGAAGTTTTATCGTATTTTAAATTGCTTTCCCCGTACGAGTTTCTTTGATGTTATCCTTGGGATTCGCAAATGGTTGAGAGGATGAAAAGGGTTGCATGGCCAACGGTACCAAAGCATAAATATTAAAAACGCAGTACAGGTGACCGCGCGAGTTATAGAGGCGAGAAACAGGTCGAATATCAAGGGTATACGATTTATGCAGTTAGCAAATGGTTCTGTGACACTGTGTCTCATCACCCTGTGCCCCCGCCCTAAGAGCGACACTGTTCAACCACCCCTCGGCTCCTGCGAGCGACGCTGATACAAAGTAACAATACCCTCGCCTTCGGTAGAATTAATAAATCTTTCAATCGATAACTCACGATATATTATTAGACGCTCCGCGTCCTTGTCGCCGGATGAATTCGCATTAAAAATTTCAATTATCAGCGGTACCGGGGGCTCTGAACGCAGCATTGTTACGGAGTTAATTACAGCAGCCAAAAATCAAAAGCAATCTTTTTACCAACGCGCGCGACAATTATTTCTAAAAGAAAGAGCGATGCGATATCAAAAGAGTGAGTTGTAAATGGGAACGAGCATCGATTGGCAGACGATAATCTCGCGGGAAGGTAAGAGAAGGTTTTTCTTTTAACGTAACAAGGTTTCCTTTCGGCTCCACCTCCGCGTATTTCTGTTACTGTGCGTTCCAATTAATCTACGTGTATATATATGTATGTTACGGTTCGTCCTCCTCCAAACTTGACCTAATTTATGCACTGCCGTCAATTTGATTTTCTCAAACGACTCGCCTGGGAGCTGTACACGTTTCTTTATTTACGCCCAGCCTCGGTCAATCAGAACCGATCCGAATACGTTGTCAACAAATATTTTGTCAATTTTTACTTGAGTATTTCCAAATGAAAATTCATTAAGACTTGCGAGCGATCGTTCGTGGTTATTGCTTGGTTACTCAAGACGTAACGTTCGTTTCCGGTTATACTTGTTCTTCACGCGAGGTAAAATTGTTTGAGAGCGGTCGAGAAAGTCTCCGGTCTGCCTCCGTTCGACGGAGGGGTAAGCTGTTTGAAATAACTCGCGTGGCGAGACGATCTATCCGAGAAAAACATCGCGCACATATCAGTAGTGGTTAATGCGTTCTACTAGGCGTCTTTGCTTCTTCAACCCTCGTCTAAATCGCGTTTAAACACGACGCTTCTGGATACAGAAGATTTTCATATTAATATCCTCAGTTCTGTTACTCTTTTATTAATCATCTCATAATATAGTCACTCGTTACAATCAATTATTATGTAAATTGAAAATAATTACATGATTGAACTGATTCTACGTTTTAATGCAATTGGGAAGAATTGTAGGAATTTGAATAATTTTCTCACACCGGAAATGGTCGACAGACGTGATGGACGAGGATGATGGAAGGGCGCCTTGCAATTAGCGTGTAACGTAGACTGTCAATTATTACCTGTTACATCTCGAATCGAGTATTCCGGCAGTGAGCCGCTGCGGTGAGGCACGTCGGCGTCGCCTGCTTTTGTAGCGAACGATTCTTCTTTTTTTAAGGGACCTCGAACCACGTTCGAGTGCCACTCGAACTCTCTCCAATGTCAATGGAGAACAAGAACGGAGCGGGCAGCTACAGGCTTCTTGTGTCCCGCGGTTCGCGTTTCAAGATAATGTCAAGAGAATCTTCGCGTAGTACACATCTCGGATCGCCCCTTCGTTTCGCGTTCGCGAGACTTTCTCGGATCCAATGAATAAATTCAAGAGCTTCTTCGCACAAAGATCTACATAATGTAGACCGTTACGGGAACCGTGAAACGTTGAGCGTATTTCGTTTAACAAAAATTCTGACGATTTGCATATTTAAGTAAAAATTAATTCATTGTTTTAAGCCAGGCGCAGGGTTCGTATAATTCTTCCCGCACGGCTCGCTTCCCCTCTTTTTCGTCCGTATTTCGATCCCCACTACTATTTTCCTCATGCGCCTTCGCTGACCATGCCTAGCATACCCCCATCAAGTACCAATCCCTATCATGGTTGCGTCGTCTCCACTTTCCGGCCGAGGGAAAAATTATACGATCCCTGGTCAGGCGTGGCCGTCTGTATCGCGTACGCAATATGGCCCTGAGCGGGAGCACAGGTGGGGATGCGTTAAGTAGTATAAACGTATTATGGTCCCCTGAGTTACTATCACTATGGCAGGAAGTGGGGATTGTTGCTAGAGTAGGGAGAAACGAGTTGGCCTGAGCCTGGTTTAAGCAATATAGACCGGGCGTTCGTAACACAAAAAATGGAACAATTTTTTACAGTCTGCTATTGATAGGGGAAATATTTACCGCCACAAGCTGTAGATAGATGTACTTAAAAATCTTCGTTACGTGTTAATGCATACTTAAACATTAACTTTAGTTAGCAAAAAGACCGTAGTTTCTTGAAACAACTTTCAAACAGTCTGCCATTTATTTGAGCACAAGACAAGATTGCGCGATCCATGAAAAGCTTATTGACAGATGGTTTTCTCCAGTACAAGAATAAAGCTTACTTATGTTAGTTAGCAATTAAATCGTATAAGAACAATCGTCTTTGTACTGGAGAAAACCATCTGTCAATAAGCTTTTCATGGATCGCGCAATCTTGTCTTGTGCTCAAATAAATGGCAGACTGTTTGAAAGTTGTTTCAAGAAACTACGGTCTTTTTGCTAACTAAAGTTAATGTTTAAGTATGCATTAACACGTAACGAAGATTTTTAAGTACATCTATCTACAGCTTGTGGCTGTAAATATTTCCCCTATCAATGGCAGACTGTAAAAAATTGTTCCATTTTTTGTGTTACGAACGCCCGGACTAATAGTCATTTGAGTCTCGTTTCGCTTTAGAAAGAATTTGACGTAATTCGCTTCGTATATCTTCTTGCGAAAAAGCTCAAAGACAAGAGAGGGAGAGAATCGGTGAGTGAGAGTGAGAGAGTGTGCGAGTGTTCTCTGCCATCGTTAAGTCAATTTTAACGTGTACGTACGCACGCTTTGTGAGTGAGCGAGAAATGAAACGGACAAGCGGACCGTTGCAGATGGATAGATGTGTATTTTTACTGACGAGGTCAGTGAACGATGTACGTGGCCTGAAAGAGAGGGACAGGAGCGAAGTGGACAGACTTGTAAGACGATTAGAACGTTTATTGTTGTGAGCCGAGCTTCTGTAATCGATTCCACCTGGACGGAATTCAGGGTGGTAAAATAAAATCGTCAACCGGGTCAGTGATAGTAGAATCGAACCGGAGGAACTTGGAGAATCAGACAGGTTTACGATGGTCCATCACTATACAGACTACGAACGTCCATCTGTTTTCCGGAGACGAAAGAATGAACGAGAATGGAAATGAAATTATTCATTGTCACGTTTCATCACACATGCATGTATTGAGTGAGTCGAATCATTTAAGAGGTACCAAAAGCAAAAGAAACAAAAACTGTTGGCAATAATATTCGATTTACAAAGAGAAGAAGAGTGATAGGGAGAGAGAGAAAGAGAGCGAGAGAGAGAGAGAGAGAGGTGAATGGTGCGGCGTCTTTAAAATTAATCGATACAGCGTGCCTGTATCCCGTTCGATTTACTGTAATTTATCGTGTAAGAGAGATTTGTAGAGAGTTTATAAATTAGGCCAAATTGTCACGGCGAGAGTTCTACGAAATAGCGATGTTTCCTTTACTCCCAAAAGTCATGGCCAACTATTCACCCCCACTTCGTTCTACGATTAATGAATTAATGAATTAATGAATTCATTTGAAACGATCGTTTGTGGGATAAATTAATACAGTACTTGGTAAAAGTAGCAAATGAGACAATTTCAAATGGAAAGAATTGTTGGCCATGGCTGTGGGGACAGGAGATCGTGTTACAGCGTGATAATCGCGTAACGATTATGCCTCGATGATGAAATCATTAGGATTGACGTATCAGAGGAACTTAGAATGGTCTGGCGTAATAATTCTTCTGTTTCTTTTATGACACCTGTTCTGTGTCAAAGGTTAATGGAATTTCGTTTATCCTTCCAGCAGTCGTTCTACGTACAGAGAATCCAGTGCACGAAAAAATTCTTTCCCATTTAACTTTAATCTCTAAAAAGTTGTCGAACTCATCTAAGTATCTCCTTAATTTCTTATTTTTTCACGTAGTACTAAGCTCATGATTCTCGTTCCAAATTTAATTGTTATTATCAGTCGAAAATGAGTGATCGTGAAGTGACGACTGCTCGAAGATTGAACAGAAGTTTCAATTTTCCTTGGACAAAGTCAAAGCGCTCATTATTTACAGAAGCCAGAATGGAGAATCAAAATTTATTAACTCGTGTCCGTTTATATTACTCGTTATACTCGTTAGTAGCAGATTAAGATAGGTTGAGCTAATTGAAGATCGGGATTCTGCTTGAATCCTCGAGAGTTACAATCTTTTGGCTAAGTAATTATCATTAGGAGAAGCGTTTGATAATTATCTTTCCTTTTTTATTATACACTTTTTTTATTGGGAAGAAGAAATGAGGATTTTGTGGGGTCACAGTTTCTTCTTTTGTTAGTGTGTGCCCGTCACACACGTTGGAAAACAGAAGGAAGGGTTTAGTGGAAATTGTATCACTATTACGCGATGTGTTACGATCTGTAAGAACTGGCAATGACTATGAAAACAAAAATCAAATAAAACGTTACAGTGAATGTTAGCTAATCAAATCTTCTTTCATTTCCTTGCTATTGTCACTTTCTTATACGAGAACGTATGTTATTTAATTATCATCGTCAGTATAATCGAGGAACACGAGTATAGTTAAGAGCATAGCTGAAATTGTAATGAAAATTACACATTTTTATGAACACCTTATTGGAGGGCGTGTGGGATATGGCTGAACCACGTTTCACCTTTGACATTTTATCTAGCAACATTGCATCACCTGTTCTTCTCAATTCAACGTAGCATTCGTTAAATTCTTGAAACAACAAGATATAAAAATGCAGAGATTCCAAATTATATACAGGGTGTTTCGTAAAAATGGTGGACGAAACTTTAGGAGTATATTCCTAATGCTTAGAAAAGACAAAAAAAAAGTTATATTAACCACCATTTACGAAACATCCTGTAGGTTGTAGTCGTTCGTTTCTCGAGTACCTATAGATTTACTATTCAGAGTAATTATTTATTTTTACGATCGTGTTAAGCATTTCCTATCCCTGTCTATCCTATATTTCTAGTCCCTGTCTTGTACAGGAAACAGGTACTTAAGCAAATACTTAAGGCGGTCTTAAATATGAGTAACGACTCTGAATACCGGCTATAGTGCGCGTTGAAATATTGTTACCAAGCATTGAAAGTATGAGAAGCCTTCCTTATCAGCGACAGGGAGCGTACTGATGTAGAACCAGAACGTGACATTTAGCTCACAGTTCTTAAATCCTATCCGTCAGTCTTACTTAACATGAGCAGCTATTAACAGTTTCTTCGAATTTTTAAATTCCACCGAGTTAATAATGAAGCTCGTGACGTTGTTCCTTGGTTTCCTTATTGCCAGAGCGGCTAACGCTACAGTGAAGGAAGGTATACAATGATTTCAATAAATGACGCAACTCCATTTTGCGATCGTCAATTATGATCGTCAGCGGCTTCTCGTAAAAAATCTTTCTTCCAATTTGTTTCGTTATGTTCCATTTACAAACATTACAGTTTCTTCTTTTAATTATTAACAATTTGATGATTTATGGATTCAGAAATAATAGAACTGGCTCATATCTGCTACGTGCACATCGTCGCGCACATGGCTTTCGACCATTACCGTTATCATATCTGTAGCACGTATGAGCTTATCGGAGTTCGCGTGGCGCGTACATGCATACAGTGCTTTGCAAAAGTTTACAATTACCCGCGATTCTCTACAATCTTATAATTTAATTAATTGTTTACGATTTTAATTTACCGTTTCGTTTCTTCATAATTATGTACAATTTCAAGATTGACGAAACGAAATGCACAAGAATATATTTATATTATATAGGATATATAAGGAATATTATATAGAAATTTCCCAGAATTATTATAAAATTATTACTTCGATGCCTTTCCTTATATTAAAAGAATAATTCGTTCTAAAGGTGGTAAACTTTTGATCAACACTGTATCTGTAAATACGATCTCGTGAACGCGACGATTGAACTATTCTACGATTGCGTAGATATTAAACATTGGCGAGTATTAGCGGACGGCGAGCTGGAGGAAGCTCTCGGCTATAAATGGAATACAAATCTAGCGAAGAACGTGATAATCTTTGTCGGCGATGGCATGAGTCCTGATACCATAACCGCCAGTAGAATATACCGTGCCGGTGAGACCAGCCGCCTGGCTTGGGAACACTTTCCTCATATATGCATTCTCAAGGTCTCGCATTTCTCAAATTTAAAAACTAACTACAATAATTTTTATCATTCAATTCAATTCAATTCAAATTATTAGAATCTTAATTTTAATATTTAATAGTAGTAATAATAGTAATTGTTTATTTCATGCTTCTCGATCTTGAAACTCACATTTAGTACTTTCATATTACCTTTCCTTCTTGTTTTATCTTGTGCCTTTATTTCCTTAGATTCATTACTTTCTTTTGTTTATTTTAAACAATTATTTTCTTTTTCTTAGTGTTTTATATCCTAAAAACCATGACACTTTTTCAGACACCTCACTAACATGTATTGCTCTTTCCTTTGCCAGCACGTGACCTCTAATTGAAATATTTAATAATAAATTAGTGTTTTACTACGATTTAAACAGTAATCTATTTTATAGAATATATCAAAAATTAATGTAAGATCAAAGTATAAATATGGTAATTTAATTAGACTTACAACACTGACAAACAAGTACCTGACTCGGCCTCGACTGCAACTGCTCTGTTCGGTGGTGTGAAAACGAATTACGAAGTAGTTGGCGTAGACGTGAACGTGGAACTGAACAATTGCTCGGCGAGTTTGAATACGGAGTATCACGTGGATTCTATAATCTCGTGGGCTCAGGCAGTTGGCAAAGACACAGGTCAGTCAGGCGACGAAAGCTATACCACTCGCAATAATTAAAATCAGTAACAACAATTAAATAATTAATAATTCGTACCAGCAATACGAATGTAGGACGTATTAAATGAAGTTGAAAAATATTGAGATATGGGGATTTTGTAGGATTCGTGACGACGACGAGGGTGACTCACGCAACTCCCGCACCACTGTACGCTCACAGCCCTAACAGGCGATGGGAGTGCGAGACCAAAATGCCAGCGTACGCCGCGAGATGCAAAGACATCGCTCGACAACTGGTCGAGGACTTACCAGGAAAAAATATCAAGGCAAACTATAATATTCCCACGATTAAATACTTAACAGACCCTTCGTGGTAAATGAACACATAACAGCCTCGTACGAATGTTCTATTAATTTTCACTCATCCACACTCCTCCCATAATTTGATCAATTGATACAAACGTGAAATTGAATGTTACCTTGATTAATAATTTGAGATTTAATCTATCGTTAAAATTGGACAGAAACATACATTTAATGAAGAACAAGAGGACGAAATAGTAGATGTTACCTTAAAGATAAAATACACAACATAAGTAAGAATGAAACAATTTTGAATTTAGGTGATTATGGGGGGTGGTAGGCAAATGTTGAAGTCAAACGCCACAGGCACCGAGTTCGATCCTATAGACACTTGGGCTGGCCACAGGGAGGATGGGAGAGATTTGGTAGACCTTTGGAGGAAGGATAAACTCTCTAGGAAAGTGGCATTCGATATCGTACAGAACAACGAAGAGTTATCTGGTATAGATACGAAAAACGTTGAATATCTGTTGGGAATCTTTGCGAACGGTCACATCAGTATGGATTGGAAGAGGGAGAAAGGTCCTAAGGGACAACCCAGTCTCGAAGAGATGACCGTGGCTGCGTTGAAAATCTTGCAAAAATCGAAACAAGGCTATGTCCTCGTGGTACGTATCAGTTGTATAATTATTGTCTTATACTAAATGGAGCATAAGATATTCTTTTTTTTGTTAATGAAATAATAATTGGCAGGTCGAGGGTGGCCTTATAGATTATGCCCATCACCGTGGTTACGCTGCCCAAGCGTTGTTAGAAACTGTCAGATTCTCAGATGCCATAAACGCGACTATGAAAATGATTAACACTGAAGACACTCTTGTAATAGTCACTAGCGACCATACTCATTCCCTCAGCTTCAATGGCTATAGTAAACGAGGCTCAGATATTTTAGGTATTAATTCAATTCTAATTAAGTACGTCACTGCAAAAGTTCTCTTATCCAGTTTTAAATAAAATACAAACGTTTACATTTTATGATAAAACGTTTTCAAATGATCCTTCAGTTTTTATACAAGTATTCTTTCATCGTAAAAATTGGAAGATCGTTCAAATAAAAGTCATCATTTTTAAATCGAACAAATCAGTTTTTCTGTAACTTAGAGTTAGCAACTTCGAAACTTTTATACATGACAGACAGTGTTTATATTTTTGGCAATTGTCTTATAAGTGTATAAAATCCGCAAATCTACTTATGAAAGTGTTATCTTAGGTTTGTAGCATAATGCCGAAACCCATGCTGAAGTACGATGAGACCTGATCCATTAATCGGGCACGTACTTTTGCACTGACCGACTTTAGAAATTCGAAATGTAATAATTCAAATGTTGTATCTAATAGCAGATTGATTTCCATAGGTATAGCTCAGAATTCCAAATTCGATCGAATTCCATATACCACGTTAACGTACAGCACAGGTGGGCCAAATAATATTGCATACACAGTTAAAGAGAATATTGCAGTAAGAGAAGATCCATCTAAAAACGATACAAGATCGTTCACGTATAGTCAACAGGCGAATATCATATCAGACGAAGCTTATCACGGTGGCGGTGACGTAGCTGTTTATGCGATAGGTGCGAATGAGCCTTCATTCATTTATTCATACTTGCTCTTTCAAATATAATTTACTAAATTAAACTATACAAACTGCATCAACATTTCTCTAAAGAAATATTAATGTTAATGTCTTTTGCACACAATGTACAGAAATTCATTATTTGACAAACTAGGAATTTCAGGCTGAAGGAAACTTAAATCCTTGTTTTTCTTTTCTTTTTCTATTCAGGCCCATTCGCACATTTATTCCACAGTGTTCACGAGCAAAGCTACGTTCCACGCGTGATAGCACACGCTGCGAAATTGCAGCCGACGGCACAAGTGAACAACGCAGGGAACCAGTACACAACTTTCGTCAATGTCTTCCTATATTGCTGCCTGTCGTTGCTGCTCGCACTCCAATTATAACGAGAAATAGGTAGGCCCTCAGTTACACACAGTATTAAAGTTATTACTATTACATTAGATTTTAAGAAATTTTATTTTCGAGCCCCGCTCAGTCATTTCAATCAATTTTACAAGTATTACAGTGTACTTTCAATTAATTGCCTACTAATGGGGATAATTTCGAGTGAACTTCGCAAATCGTACAATATTTCAATAGAAAGTATTAAAATTTGATCTTTTATTTATCAGAAGAAAGTAAAACAGAAGTTACTGTAAGTAACGTATATTTAAAAAAAAAGGAAAAATAACGAAAGATCCAAGTTACATTTTTCCTTATCCGTACTTAAGTAAATGGGACGACAAGTGGGCCGTGAGAAAGTTCACGCTTGGATCCACTCGATCACAGATTAAGCCTAAAGTTGTTCAGCGGACGCATCAAATCTTTCTCACGAAGATCGACAGTTCGTACCGTATACGTAATCTCTAGATATAGAATAAATTTATTTTCTTCACGCACGTGTGTGTATAACAATTATAATATACATATATGTATATATATATATTTTCTCTCCTTGGGCGCGTATCATTCCTTTCTCTCTCTATATACAACAATGTTTAAAACGATTCTCAGTCTTCTGCTATAGAGGGTCAGGACGCATCGTCTCGCGAGTAACGCGTACAATAATTCATTGCACGCCGTGGCAACGATTAAAATATTTTCCTTATAAAGAAAAAAGAGCAAAGTAGAAAAAGAAGAATGAACGAAGACGTTACAGAAGAGCGTTACACACGTTCAGCTGCTAGCACAGCCATCCTCGTGTCCTCCGAAACGTTGCGACGTGACCGTCACGCGTATACGATTACGCGTATCAGTCCGATAAATTCGACGAACTACAAAATGCTTAGAGATATTCGCGTATAGCGTAAAAAAGAAGAAGAAAGAACCGACCGAGTCCATCGATCGACGTCCATAACGCAACTACCGTCCTATCTAACGGTGAAAAAGGACTTTCTGCCGGACGAGACTGTGACCATTTATCTGACTTATCCCCCGATCGTCTCGTTAACAGAGATCACGAGATTGTTAAAACGAAATACATGTTACACGATAAAACATAACGTTTCTGATTTTCACAGAAAGTTGAATTCGCATGAAACGCGGTCATACTTGATGTGAATTGAATCGTGTCTGAAACAAATTCAACACAGAGGGGATCGGCGTATTAAATACGTACAGTCTCGTCCAGCGAATGAATAACGGTAATCCGTCCGATGCGCGCGATCAAGCGAATAATTAAACTTGATCGCGTTTAAGTAAATCGTAGCGATAAGAATAATAATTCATGGGAGAGACGTGAATGGGGGGGGGCTATGGGGTTGAACGGAATTGCGAACGAAGCCTCTCTCGATTGCTCTCGTGTCTATTGATCTAACGAGACGGTCTGTTCGCGGCAAGCTTCGCTTTCACCTTGCCTCGGCGTAGGAGTACCGATCATTCGACTTTGCTTTTCTCGCATCTGTCTTGGCTGTGCGTTGCCGTCTCGTGGACGAGAATCTTGAGCGAGATGCAGCCGAGGCACAGAAGCGCCGAGATTAGGAAGACGAAGCCGGGCGTGTACTTCTCGCCCACCATTAAAATGAACAGGCCTATCAGTTGGAGGATTAATAGCAACGGCGCGAAATACACGGCCATGGTCAGGAAGAGCGGGTTCTTCTGTTTGCGCTTCTGTTGCTGGTCAAGTATTCGTAATTTCGGTTTGCAGGCCGGTGACACTTCGACGCTCGGTTCTAGCGCCTCCTTCGCGTGGACGACGGGGACCACGGACCGCCTGACGTTCTTGTAAAGGAAGAACAGTCTGGTTGTGAGCGTCTCCAGGAACTGGCCCAAGCATAGGTGCACTTTCTTCACTATCGGATGCGATTTCGAGTTGTCAAACGAGTAGAGGAGGTACGGGAAGAGATTCAAGTTCTGGCAGCAGTGGCGAATCTTCTGCATCGACGGGTGACGAAACAACGTCGGTGGCCCACTGTTACTTCCATCTAGAAGAATATTAAGTGTAATTATACATCGCAGAAATAATTATCAAGAGCTTGTAGTATAAATTAATTATTAATACGGTTTTATATTATTCTTGATAATATTTATTACTACATTGCGGACTTTATGCATTTATACCAAAATTGTGTATTTAAAGGAACGTAAAAAATGCATTAGATAAATATTTTATATAGGTTAGTGAATAGAATTTTATTTTATCTTGACATTATAGAAAAAGANAGCAGACAAAATTCATGTCATGTTTAAATATTTCCATTTTGCATACTATTATTACACATTATTTGTTTCTATACTATGTCATTCCTATTTGATATTACATTGACTATGTATCAAATTAGAGATTAGACCCTCTAATAAAGTGCCTTTTTATAAAAATATTTTGTAATAAAAAATATCCTTCATACTGGGAATTATACATATATCTGTTAGATTAGACATTACATAAATGTCCAATTAATTTTATTTCGATCAAAGGATCCAAGAAGTACGCTAAATAAATACTAAGCAGAATACATCATGTTTAACGGATCAAAGGAGATCATTACTAAATATCATTCTTTGCATAGATATCTTCCAAGTTGTTATTTATATGAAAATTCGCAATATGTTCGTGACTGTCAGTTTCGAACATTATTTGCGATTGTTGAAAGTTCATACGTGTTTGTCGATTCACTATCTAATGAATGAGGTGGATGCAAAACCGGTATACATGAAATTCTAGCTGCACGCATAGAAAACGAGAGACAGTAAATCGCTGTCGCAACTTGTAATAAGGTAATAAGCGAATTGTAGTACACGGGCCAGTTACGTCATGTCCGTTTCGCGGGTTATCGTCGCTGGAAAATAAAGCGGATCACCTCACCTTTCAGCATGTTGGAAACGCTTCGGACCAAAGTTGTTTTCCCAACGGCCTCGTCGTTTTCCATAATTCCCGACACTTTCGACATGCCCGTTCAGATAATGAAAACACGCTGCTAATTAATTATTCCGTCCTTCGAACTCGCACTATTGTTCTTCCTCTCTGCAAAAAAGATGATAATGGATTCATAAAATGATAATAGTCTTGCTTAATAAATTTATTGCAAACCGGTCTGTCCATAGCATGCAAATAAACGTTTCTAATACTATATATAGAATACTCGTATTCTAACATCATTATTTGTTTTAATTACATCATGTTTACATGATTAAAAAATTCCCCACAATTTCGGCTGATTTACGAGGTACGAAATCAAACAAGCTAATCTGTGTCGTCCCCTCGAATCTTTGGCCAATAACGATTCGACGTAATGTGTCGATCGTCACTCAGAGACCTTCGACTTTCGCCAGTTTGCCAAAGATGAGCGACGAACTTTAATGGGAATAAAGAATAACGAAAAGAAAAAAAAAAAAGAGCAAACGCCTGAAACCGATAGCCCCAAATGACCTGAGATTAACTCGCGGCTCGGCCGTGCTTTTTCAGACAATCTACGGCCCCGGTATCTTCGCCAATCGATTCGCTCGAACTTTAACGCGAACCGTCCTAACTATGTAAGCGGCCGGCCAAAAATTTCTAAGCAAAAATAACTCGCGTTTGAAGACCGACAGTCATTAAACCCAAATTGCTAGATAAAATTATCTGTCTAGACTGTCAACTATTAATTAAGGTCAACTGAGATTGTCCAGTGTCTTAAATATAATTGTACGAAATCTCTTGTACACTTCGTTGATTAGGAAATCATAAAAAATTTCTAATTATCATTTTACACGATTATAAATAAGAACTCAAGGTCACATTGTATATACCTTGAAACGAATGGAGAAAAATTTTTAACCGATGTAACCCGCGAACAATAGCTACTTCACAGTACGTTTGAAGAGTATGATCTGCGCGATGCGCTCTCTCGCGATGACACAAGTTCTCTGACACTCCCGCAGGCCGGTTCACCGGTTCATAATATACTCGTCACCCGTCGCCCCTCCTGTCCCTCGCAAATTGTTTAGCCGCGTAGGTGGTGTGTACCGTCGCGAAGCCAGTGAACGGCGCACACAACGACGGGATTTCTCTGCGTACTAGCCGAGTAAAAATCAAAATACATTCCGAAATGGTGGGAAGGTTACATTGATACATCGTTGTTAAGCTGTAAATTTATGTTAATCGTGTACGGTCAAGGATCTCCGCGCACAGAATTCGAATTCCCGCCGCGCTCCGAAGTTTCTCGACTCTAATCGACGACTCCTGCGCGCGTCGCTCGACGCTAATCCGGATTGATTGCTAACGAGGTAAACAAGGGGGACTGAAACAGAACCGAACCTTCATGCTTTCAAAGAATTCCCAACACTCCTTCGCCTGATGACCACCGATCTTCAAATTTAATTAAATCATGTAGGTTTATTAATAATTTTTCTGTGAAAATTATATTCGTTTATAAATTTAATAAATTGAACATAACACCCACTTGGCCTTCGTGTGTTTATGATATTGTCTTTGAATTTATGTCGACACGGTTGATGTTATTAGTTATTGAAAATTGTGTCAGATAAAACCGCAAACGGAAACCGAATTTCCAGGAAATCGTAGACACCATAGATTCATTTATCAGTGCTTAGGATAGAATCGATAGTTTCATTATCAAGACTTCAATAATCGTCCAAGTTCAATTAATCGCTGAAGTACATAGATTGAGAGTATCCTTTCCGATACTTATTAGGACCCCCCGGTCACGGGCTGATTAGAAAGGAAGCAACGGGACGCGCGATTACGCCTGGCCATGGGGCCAATTGAATGGTTCACCAAGGGTTGGAATTAGATTGAACGAGAAACTCGAAAGTTCCACGACTACTCACCTCTTCGCTCAGCTGTATCGTACGGACGGCTCAGTTAGGGTCGAGCACCGACCATATATACACCTTTCCTTCGTTTCTTCTAACTGCACTTCTCATAAACGTCGAACACGTTCGGGGATTCACAGAATATGCCCGTACGTCTCTTGATAGGCTCGCGGTTTCCTCTTTTTATTTCGAGGCGGTGATCGATCAGACCTCGAACTCCTCGACTGCGCTCGTTTTACCGCTCGCTTCGGAGCACGGGACCGGAACCCTGCCTGGTTGCCTGTGCACAGTAGTCTACGTGCGCTCGCGATTACGGCAACACACAACGACTATGACCAAAAAGCTAACCGGCGACGCTGCCAGTACTTAACAGTGGTCTGCACGAGCAGCGACCTCAGCTGCGAGTTCCTTTCTAACCAGCGTCCCGGTGCCACGAACCAGTCGAACAGTCGATTGGTGGCTCGGCTGGCACACAAGGGCGCCGGCCAGTACCGCCATTACTGCAGGCTTTACGGGTTCTCTCAAATTCATTCTAATACGTGTAACATAAGTTAGATCGTGATTTTTCAAACAACTCATAGGGTAGATACAATATTCGTAGTCATTCTACAATTATTTTTTTGCTTTGACATTGTAGATGATAATTATTCAACTTCCCACTGCGTTTTATTTATTATACAGTCTAATAGTTATAGAATAAGTTTAAAAAAAATACTTACATCGTGCAATTTAATTTTTTATTACATAGCATCCAGACTGTTTCAATTTATTTGAATCTCAGACACAATTGTAATGCCAATGTGATCATTCTCTATCGTTCTGCTCATTATACATGATATTATCTATCATATCGAGATTTATAGTAGTTCTGATCAATTGCCCATTCAGTTCTAATCAGTTCATGTGAATACATATAGAGAATACAATATACAACTGTTCACTATGCAATAAAAGCGTTTATTCGATATAAAATACACAATAGAGAATTGTTCATCATACAGAAGAAGCATTTATACAACGTAAAATATAGAATGCAATATAGAACTGTTCATTGTGCAGTAAAACTATTTATACAATATGAGGTATGAAATATAATATAGAACTGTCCATTATAAAATCAGGTGTTCAAAATACAATCATTTTATATTTAATCATAAGCCAGTGAATAGAAGTAGAGACGTTTACTATAAAAATATTTATGCAATATAAAATATAGAAAACCTCATACAATAAAAATATTATATAGAATATTTTATAGAAATGCTTTTTAAGATATACAAAATATCGACCAGGGTGTTTGAAACTGTAGATACAACTCTGGCCCGCGAACCAATTGCTGGACTTCTTCAGAGAATAATGCGTACGCTGCAATCAATGATACCGTTCTCACCAACACAGCAACGCTTCGTTCAGTATGAGAACTATCCAACTAGTGTGCGTAAATATCTGTTTCCCCCGTTTTCTCGTACATACAACACAATTGCGTTCGGGGTCTGTGTCAGCGTGGATAGAATTGACGAGTGCAGCTGTACGTGGATAACGAAAAGGGATGGGCGAAGGAAACGAGGGCTCAGTCACGTAGATATTTAGGTATATCACGAGGAAAGCTCGTGCTCTTTCGAAAGTCTGGTTCCAAATGTCGATAGGGGTTCACATTACCAGTTAGCGTCATTACCTTACTTTAAGTTTATTACGTTGTAGATGTTAATGAGGCATTCGAGAGCAACGAGAGAATTGGAGCAAAACACGTTCAGTTTCTTGCGACATAGAATTCTTATAAAGTATTTATAATTCAGACATGTTGGACTAAAATCGAATACAGAAGTGTTTCGAGTTTAACAAATTATT